TTTTCTACGTATATACATATTTTTTGCCTGTAAGAATTTTTTGAGAGTAAGTTGCAGATATAATGCTCCTTTATCCTTAAATACTTCAATATGTATTTTCTGAGAGCAAGGACCTTCTCTTTCAGAACCCAGATCAGGAAACTAACATTGGTACAATAGTTTTAACTAGCTACAGGTTTTTTTCTGGCTTTGCCAATTTCCCCAGTAATATCCTTGATAGCAAAAGAAACTCCTGGCTCCTACATTGCATTTGAATAGAAACTACATTGAGTTTCTATTAACCTGGAAAAGTTCTTCAGTGTTTCTTTGTCTTTCATGATATTGCCGTTTTTGGCAAGTACAGACCTATTTTATTTTGGAACATGAATCTTGATTTGAGTTTATCTGGTTTCTTTGCAATTAGATTCAGGTTATGTACCCTTGGTGGGAACACCCCAGAAGTGATCCTGTGTCCTTCTCAGTGCATCCTCTCAGGAGGTACACAGCATCTATCTGTCCCATTGTTGATGATTTGTTTTTTCTTTTTATTCTCTCTTTATTTTGAACCAGTGTGGCTCTCTTTTTTTTTTTTTTAAACATCTTTATTGGGGTATAATTGCTTTACAATGGTGTGTTAGTTTCTGCTTTATAACAAAGTGAATCAGTTATACATATACATATGCTCCCATATGTCCTCCCTCTTGCGTCTCCCTCCCTCCCACTCTCCCTATCCCACCCCTCCAGGCTGTCACAAAGCACCGAGCTAATATCCCTGTGCCTTGCGGCTGCTTCCCCCTAGCTATCTACCTTACTACCTTTGTTAGTGTGTATATGTCCATGACTCTCTCTCGCCCTGTCAAAGCTCACCCTTCCCCCTCCCCATATCCTCAAGTCCGTTCTCCAGTAGGTCTGCGTCTTTATTCCTGTCTTACCCCTAGGTTCTTCATGACATTTTTTTTCCCTTAAATTCCATATATATGTGTTAGCATACGGTATTTGTCTTTTTCTTTCTGACTTACTTCACTCTGTATGACAGACTCTAGGTCTATCCATCTCATTACAAATAGCTCAATTTCATTTCTTTTTAAGGCTGAGTAATATTCCATTGTATATATGTGTTGAACCAGTGTGGCTCTCTTTTTTTAATGTACAAAGAACTCTTTTTAAAAAATTAATTAATTTTTGGCTGTGTTGGGTCTTTGTTGCTGTGTGCAGGCTTTTTCTAGTTGCATCGAGTGGAGGCTACTCTTCATTGTGGTGCGCAGGCTTCTCATTGTGGTGGCTTCTCTAATTGTGGAGCATGGGCTCTAGGCGTGCGGGCTTCAGTAGTTGTGGCACGTGGGCTCAGTAGTTGTGGTGCACGGGCTTAGTTGCTCCATGGCATGTGGGATCTTCGTGGACCAGGGCTTGAACCCGTGTCCCCTGAATTGCCAGGCGGATTCTTAACCAATGTGCCACCAGGGAAGTCCCAATAATGTTAACTTACATCCCTTGGTTGGGGTGGTGCCTGCCAAGATTCTCCCTGTAAAGTTACTGTTTTTCCCTTTGCAATTAATGAGCATATGCCAACACTGAAAGGTCAGGCTGAGGAAGAAGAGCCAGGAAGAAAGCTTGTGAAGGGGCAATGGGAACATGGGAGGAAGACCAGAACATCTTGGAACCAGGAAGAGGTCCTGCAAAAAGGAGGCAGTGGCCGGTCATTGTGGCCCAGTGCTGCTGAAAAGCTGGTCCAGTGAGGGTGAGATGTGGCTACTGGCAGCATCTTCCACATGCAGGTCACAGTTTAGGTGCAGCGATGGGCTTGAAGCCAGCCTGCAGGGAGTCAGAATGTGAAAGGGAGGTGAGAATGAGACTGTAGGAAAAATGCCTCTTTGGGGAAGTTTGTCTGTGGACTGGGGAGAGGTGTGCGTGGCCAGGAAGATGGTTCTTATTTTTTAAATTTAAAAAAACATTTAAATTATTTTTTTCGATAGCAGTAATTTAAAAAAATTTTTTAATTGAAGTATAGTTGAGTTACAATGTTGTACCAATCTCTGCTGTACAGCAAAGTGACTCAGTTATACATATGTATACATTCTTTTTTTAAATATTCTGTTCCACTATGATTTATCCCAGGATATTGAATATAGTTTCCTGTGTTAGATGGTTCTTAATAGATGGAAGGGATGCAGAGTACGTAGAACATGATAGCAAGGAGCCAGTTGAGGCTCCTTTAAAGAAAGGAGAAGGTGACAATGGACAGTGAAATGTTCTTGAGACACAGAGGAGATGGGAGGAGGTCTTGGTGGGTCCTCCTAAGCCCCAGGAGGGAAGTGGGAGCAGGTGACAGCAGATGGAAGCTGCTGGTTTTGACAGCGCAGTACGGAGGGTTTGAGTCCAAGGCCAGTCTGATGTCCTCTGGCCTTGGTGAGCAGGAGGTAGAGCAGGAGGTAGAGCAGGGGCTGCAGGGAAGGCCAGGCACAGAGAGGGGAATAAGCCATGTCTGAATGATCTCTGGGGAGAGGGAGAGAGCAAGCTGACCAGCGCGGACATGGGCAACTGGGCGGCATGGACAAAAGTCCAGGGTCTGGGGGTCATGGGTCTACCCCCAGCAGCTTTTAGCTGCCTGGTACAGGAGGGCAAGGCAGACACGGTGACTCAGGGCTGGAATTTACCAGCAAAGAAGTGGGACAAGGAGGGCAGTCTAAAGGATGCGGAGGAGGTGCAGGGTCACCGATGGGACCTCAGTGATAGCAGGCAATCCGTACAGGGCCAGAAATGGAAGGACAGGGAATGGTGCTCCTGGGAGGAGGGTGAGAAGCCCAGGATGTGCTGGGGAGGGTGGCTGAGAGGGAGTGGAGCAGAGGCATTTGGAGATGAGGAGGTCTGGGACCTGGGAGGCCAAGGGGTGGTGGGTGGTCCCTGGGGAGGCCTAAGTCACCGGGGTAATAGCAGGAGTTGGGGGCTGGGGAAGCAGACCATGAGCCAGGGCCACCAGGTCAACATGTCAAGACAGATGGCGCCCCTGAGAGATGAAGCGGGGCACCCTGGATGCTGGAGTCTTGGGGAGGTGTGCTCTTGTCAGGGAGGAGACACTGCCTGGGTGGATACCAAGGAAACCAGGGACTTGCTCCACCTTGGGCTCTGAGAGACAGTGCAGCAGTGTTGAAGCTACCCAAAGGCTGTCTCCAGCGGCGAGCTAAGTCTCTGTTAAAGTTGGAGGGAAGGGAGCCTTTGGAGCAGAAGTGGGGTGGCTTGTGACATTCCGGGGTGTAGAGTGGCTTGGTTTCCCTAAGAGAGCCAGGCACAAGGATGGCAGACAGGAACAGTGTTCGTGTGGGTGTCAGGAAGGCTCCCTGGGTCTGAAATACTTGTAGATCACCACCTTCCCCCCAGCCCAGGAAGGTGAAGAGCCCAGCCCCACATCTGGCCCCTATCAGCATGAGGGGACCATCAGGGCTTGGGCCCAGCAGGCCTGCAGCTTCCTCCAGGAAAAGCTGACAGTGACGGAGGTGAGGAAGGGGCACTGCCTGTGGCCCGAGACCAGCTGAGGCTGGGCCAATCCCAGCCTTGCCCAGCCCTCTGTCTCCAGAAATCAGAGGCTTGGCTGCCGCACGGGTTATGAGAGAGGCACAGGAAAGATCTGCTGCCGCTGGTGGAGGGGGGAGCCCTGCCTTCTGTTCCAAGCCTTTCAGCCCCACAAGGGGTTTCTGGAGCACCCAGCACACCTGGCTGGTCTGCTCTGAGTCCTCGTTGCGCCTGTTGGTTGGAATGAGTTCAGAGCATGGTTTGGTTTCCATTAGATCAGAGGCTAGGATCTAAAGAGAGCTCTGGGGTTTGTGTTCTGGTTCTGTCTCTGCTACTAATGTAATGGGAAACTTTGGGCAAGTCTTTGCCCCTTTCTGGTCTTCAGTTTCCTTATCTGTGTACCGGGGCTGTGACAGACACTCTCTCTAAAGCCAGCGGTCATCTGTTCCCCGAGATGGAAACCCCTCTAGATCAAACCCTCAGTCTGAGCTATGAACTGCTAGGTGCAAGCAGGCCCCAGGGCCCCTGAGCCTCTGGGTTTTTTCGGGGTGAAGGAGTGTCTAGCATTTCCTCAGCCCTGGGGCTCATCCATCAATCATATGGTAGCTGGGTATATTCCCTATCCCTCAATGTTTTCTCTCACACTTCCGCCCCCACAGGGGGTGTTCTTGACCGCAGGCACAGGAAGTAGCTTCTTGAGGCCTCAGCACCACCCTCCCTCCTCCTTTATTTGCTCCCCATTGCCTACCTGAAATGCCAGCAGCAGGCAAGTATTCCTCGAGCTAGATGTGGATCCCTAAAGACACTGTGGAATAGGAGTCTGGGAAGCTATCAGACAGTCACATCTTAGTGTGAAATAATTGGCTTGATACTTTCCCAAGGAAAAACAGACTGTGATAGAAGGGAGGGCATGTCCAGAGCCTGGGAGATAGGTGGGAGGGACAGGGAACAGAGGACCACCCCAGGGGGCTGTGCAGGTGGCAAGAACCCTTCACCCATGACCCGTTCGCTCTTTCAGAAACCTCAGAGCACCCACCAGGAGTGAAGAGCTGGATCTGTCACTCCACTTCTCCATTTTTCTTTCCTGCCCCAAGGTTCTGGGGACCCTCAGGCTACTTAGCCAGGTTGGGAACAGGGACAGGGGGGCTGAGTTCTCAGGGTTCCACAGCTGAGCTGCCAGCGTAGAATTTCTACGCTACAGTTCGGGCGCCACGGCAACTGGAGGAAATAAACAGTCTAAGTTCTGCAGTGATGTCATCCCCAGCTCCAGCCTGCCGAGCCCTGCAGCTGGCTGTACCCCAGACGGCCTCAGCTGCACAAGCAGGAGGACTGTCTTGCTTCCCAGCCTCCACACAGCCTCTGGCATCAGGGAGAGAAAGTGGAAAGAGGGGCTTGGGCAGGGGCCCCTGGAACAGGCCCCACCCAGGCCCAGCTCCTTTCCTGCTGCTTAGGGTCTCTCAGCTGCTGCTACTGCCCTCTGCTTGGCCCCAGACATGAAACTACCCAAGGGCGTCAGGAACCCTGTGTTCTATGGGCAGCAGCCAGAGAAGAAGGTGCAGGTGCCCTCAGGGCAGGAGATAAAGCAGACCCCTGTTGTCCTGGCAACAATTAAAGGTGAGACCTGGGCTTGGGCTCATTTGTCTCTCTGCAGAGCTGCTGAAGGTGTCCTAGCCTTCCAGTCCTGCCTCCTGCAAAGCCCTTGCAGACTCTCCTCAAAGCCACAGAAGATCAGCACTTCCAAGCTAAACTTTGCAGGCGGTATTAGCTGCTGGGAATTTTTTTGGGCGGGGGAGGGGGGAGGAGAGGTGGGAGGAAGGGGTTTGAAGTGAGGCCAGTTTTGGAAAAAGGCTAGGGATTCTGTGGCATCTTTAGCCCAGCTCTAGCTTTCCTCACTTCCCTTGAATCTTACTCTCAACTGAAGGCAGACAAACTAATTCTTACTACATTGTTAATGACCAATGGTTGCTCTATGTGGGAGGTGGTTTAGTATGTGATTAAACGTTTAGGCTCTGTTGGCTGGTGTCTCAGAATTTTCACAATAACGGCTTGTGTGACTTTGGGTAAATTGATATTTCTAAGCCTCAATTTTCTCATCCGTAAGATGGGAAAAACAAGGGTATCTGTCTTACAGAATTGTCGAGAGGCTTAACTGAAATAACCCACAGAAAATGCTCAGCATAGTACTCGGCACAGAATAAGGTCTCAGTTACTTGTAACTCTTACTTTTCTGATTATGCATTGCCTGTCCAAGGGAAATCACATTTTATCTGGGAACCCTTTCCCCAAAGGAAGCACCTCAATGGTGGTCTTTGTCTCAGGGTGACATCAGTGAGAGCAAAGACCTCAGAGTTCTTAAGGCACACTGTATTTGGGGCTTCCCCTGCCTCTGATCTGGCGGGCCCAGGCTGAGGGCCACCCTGTCGGTGCTCACAGGTCCGGGGCCTGCTAAATACCTCCGGCCATCCTGCACGGGCTACGTAGACCATGACGTCTCCATGTTCCGGGAGCCGGCCTACACCCTACACACCCCACACTCGGAGAAGCGTGAGTGCTCACCACACCATCATCCCCGTGGGTGTAGGATTACTATTGTTGGATGTTTGGGGCTGTGGTGAGGGGTGAGGAGTCATGATCTGTAGCCAGAGGCCTGGGAACCCAGGCCTGTCCTGAGTGGGACACCCACGTGGCCTGCTGGTCCACAAGGAAGCCGGCAGGGGTGCGAGGTGACCCATCCCTCTGAAGGCAACTCTGGGCATTTCCCAACTGGACCTCCTGAGGGAGCTTCGAAGGGACCTGTTGCATCCAGCTGGAAGGGTCTCCCTTCTGTGTGGTCTTTGGCTGGGGCCCTTCCACTCTGGCTGCCATGGGTTCAACTGCCATAGCAGCTGGGCAGGAATAGCTGGTGAGTGGAGGGAAAGTGGTGGTGGGGGGTGGCCTCAAAGCTTCCCAGGTGGCTTAGAACCCCCTGGAAGGTGGGGAGCAGAGGGCCATCAAAGAGCTGGGGATGACAGCCAAGGCCAGTGAGAGGAGAAGGTGGGCAGGGGCATGTATCTGGGGGTCTGAGACCTCGGCCCCTCCCAGAGGTGACACACCCTCCTCAGCAGGGGAACCCCCTTTCCAGGGCTGGGTCCCTTCTTCATACTAACAGTAGCCACTATGCCTATTTATTATCCCCTTGGCACCAATCCCCGGCGGGGTGGGGGCTGACCAAACTCCTGCGCAGCTGTTATTTTATCTGTTCCTCTGAACAAGTTCATGTGTTAAAAGCCCCATTTTACGGATGAGGAAATCAAGGCTCCCGAAACATTCAAGAGCCCGAGGAACTGGAAAGGAGCCTTCGATCCTTTTTGGGGGAGGGGGATCTTGCCTGGAGGCAGGCCAGACTCACCCTGGGGCGGCCTCTGGGGCTGACTGGGCCTTTCCTTGGCTGCCTTGTAGGGATCATGGACATATGCAGCCCTGGGCCTTGCTATTTCTTGGATCCTAAAATAACTCGGTTTGGAATGTCCAGCTGCCCTCAGGTTCCCATGGCAGAGCGCATCTCTAACCTGCGTAAGATGGGCCGGGAGAGGGAGGTCGGTGTTGGGAGGCTGGGGGATGGGGGTCCATGCTTGGGACAGGAGCAGGGGCAAAGGGGTGTTGACTCCCTTCGCCAGGTGTGTCTGCGGATTTTGGCCTCTCCCTGCAATGTCATATCAAGACACTGATGTCACAGTGTCTGTGTCACAGTACTTAATGTCTTGAGGCCAACGTTATGCATGTATGTTGCAGGGTGATGTTATGATAAAAATATCAAAGGGCTCATGTCACGGTAGCAATATTGTCATGCTAATGAGTTCACGGACTGTAGTGATTTCAGGATGTTTTCTTGGTGCTGTCACAGGGACAATGACAGCCCAAGGGTGATGTTCTTATGATACCTGGGGTTTTTATTTTATGAAAAGAGTGTCACAATCCTGATATCAGGATGGCCGAAGTCCCTCCCCACCTCCATCCCTTAGTCCCACACAGGGGCGGTGATATTCCTGCCCTATGCTAAGGTGGTTCTAGAGAAGTCATAACAGGCTAACCAAGACCTCAGCTCCTTCCCTAGACCCGTTAGTTGGACACCAGGAGATGTGGCCTGGCTCCTGCCCTGAGACCCCTCCCCTTCATTCATCCACTTTCAGGCCTGAGCCCCACCCTGGCCTCCTGCCATTACCACCTGGAGAAGACCCACCCGCCTGGGGAGCGCAGGGCTCCCAAGTACACCTTTGGCTACCGGTGCCCATACAGAGTGATGGACCCCAACCCGGGCCCCAACCAGTACCAGCTGCCACTCCTGCTGGGGCCCAACCTGCCCGCCAACAGAGCTGCTCCTTGCTACAGCCTGAGCCCCTTGCACAAGAACTGGTTCTACAAGGAGGATGTGGCAGGAGGCCCTGGACCTGCCATGCACGCCCGGCCTGAGCCGTCTGTCTACAAGAACCGCAGCCCCATGTACAGCATGGCCAGGCGCTTTGCCTACCCGCTGGACCACACACCTCGGCCCGGCCCCGGCTCCCATGACATCCAGCAGGTCACGGTGCACAAGTCCCGCATGCCCGCTTTCACCATGGGCATCAAGCACTCGCCCCACCTGTGCCCACTGGTTGTTGACATTCATGACTGAGGCCCCTCCCGGTGCACTCACCGCCCCCCGTCCCCAGAAGTTATGTTTCTATACCAAATCGAGCAACTTAGCAAGGTTTTAAGTAGCAGAGCTGATGCCTGCTGTGTCCAGCACATAGAAGGCATTAGATAAATATTTTCATTTATCCCTTCGTTTTGCAAACACTCACAGTGGCTTTCTTTGGGCCCTGATGAGGGGCTGGGGATACTGGCAGTGTAGTAGGAGTCCCTGTCTGGGGGATGTTCTGCTGTGGCTCACCAGATGTCCTCCAAGGAGCCCTGGGCAGAGGCGCCGGGGAGCTGAGTTCTAGGCCTACCTCTGCCACTAATGTGCTCTGTGGACTTGTGCAGCTCCCTCACCTCTCTGGGCCTCTGTGAGGGGGGACGGTGGACCTGGAGGATGTCCAAGTTCCCTCCAGCTTCCGAACTGTTTGATTCTGATCCCTGACGGTGGTCAGCCCCCAAGAGAGGAGCAGGGCAAGTGGAGCAGGAGGGAGGAGCCATTCTGGCTGGGCTGGGGGGACAGGGCAGTTTTCCTGCGGGAAGAACCCAAGAGGACAAGCAGAGACAGTGTGTAGGAGGGAGGGTATTCTTGGTGGAGGTATAGATGAGAGGGAAGGTGTGCAGGTGGGACCGAAGTGTACAGGGGCAGGGAACCGGGGGAGGCTCAGAGGGCAGGCGCCTGGGCTGTAGCTGGGCAGGAATAGCTGGTGAGTGGGGCTAGATAAGACGTGGTCTTTTCAGAATTCCTTGGGCAGTGAGAGAAAGTTGGACAAGATGGGCAGAGCCTGGAAGCTAGCGATCAGCCTAGGGAATAGGCAAAGCGCAGGGGGGCTGCTGGGAGGAGGGTCTGCATGTCACATGCTGTCTTTGGAGATTTGCCTGTGTGTCCCCAACCTCAACGGCCTAGCCGTCAGGGGCCCCGTGGAGGAGGAGAGGAGGAGACATGAACCAGCCAGGAGGGGGCAGTATCGCCTCACTCATGAGTACAGGCGGTTCCCGCAGCCCCTACCTCTTCTGGCTTCGCCGCCGCTTTTGGACAGACTGGTGCCAGCTCTCCTGCCGGTGTCTGGGGAGGCTGGGGTCTCAGGGTCTGGTAGTCATCTTTCCTTAATTCTTGGTATCCAGATTCCCTGTTCCGACTTGTCCCCAGCCCTAGGACCAGCCCCTCTCCCAGCTCCCCCCGTCACAGGAGATGTGGGGAGGAATTCCACACCTGCTCTGCAGCCTGCGCAAGTGGGGAAGGGAGGGCAGGAACTGTGGAGGGAGAGGGGCTTAGGGAAGGAGGAGTGGAGGCTGAATGTCCCCCAGGCCTGATGGCTCAGGCAGAAGCACGTCCTTCTGCAGCCACTCTCCCCAAAGCACAGGGAGGCAGGAGGAAAGGGCCACTAGGAACCAATGTCTGGTGGCTCATCATTGCGAATTTGAGCAATATTCAGGTTTTAATTGAAAATGAAAATGGTATTGAAGAACTAATTTCAGATAGAAAGGAGCAGAGAATATCTTTGGAATATCAAAAAGAAACAAACAACTGAATATTTAAAAAAGGGGCTTGTAGAAAACCCCACTGGGGTCATACCTGACTCTGGGCCTGAAATTTCCTCCCCCTCCCGCCCCAGCCCCCATGCCTGGGATATTGTGTCTGTCCTGTCCTCCCCACTTGTCCACAGGGCTGGTCTGGGCAGGCTCGAGAGACAGCAAGTGAGCTTGGGGACCCATCTGTCTTGCAGCAGATTGGAAAGATGTCATTTTGCTGACAATGCCATTTATCACGGCGGCTGCAAAAATTAGGGAAGCTTGGGCTGAAAATGTTGTGTAGGGGTGGAGGTTGGCAGGTGGCAGTGGCTGATGCTCTCTTGTGTCACCAGGTCAGGGAAGCTACAGGCCAACCGCTGAGTAGGGGTTTTCTGATTTAGCGTTCAGCCCATCCCAAGGCCCTCCATTAAAAAGAGAAGAAAACTGAGGCCCAGAGGCAGGGAAACAGCTTTGGCTCTATGACAAATTAATAGCCTGTCTCTAAATAAAAGTCCAGGCTCAGTTTGTGATCAGGGTTAGGGCTCAATCAATGTGTGACAGGGTCAGGGTTCAATGTGTGACAGGGTCAGGGTTCAATGTGTGACAGGGTCAGGGTTCAATGTGTGACCAGGTTTGGCAGTGTGGTTAGAGTGAGGGCTAAGTCTGGGGTGAGACCCTTGACTTACATTAGGACTAAATCCTAGTTTTTGCCTCCATGGCTCAGTCTGTGACAGACCTTCAGCCTGGCCCCAGCTGCCATCAGTTATGGGCAGGGGCTGGGTATTAGCCCTAGAGCTAGAACTAACCCTTGGCTTGAGGTCCCAAGGGAAGGAGAGGAGGCTGGAGGATTCAGTATGAATCTTTGGGGGATGAAGATGTTTGGAAGAGAGATGGCCCCGCCAAGAAAGGGATGTGGCCTCCAGAGAAGATAAATGGGGCCTCCCTTGTGCCTCAGCTCACGAAGTGACAGGGTCATTTAGCTTGAGACAGACCTTTGGACGAAGCAGTCCCCATCTGTTGGCCTTGCCTCTCCTGTGGTGGTGACCATGTAGATGACTTGGAGAAGGTCAGTGGGCATGGCGTCTCAGGCCTGGCCGGGTGATGACCCTGCCCCTTCTGAACAAATTGGGGGCCACGCTTGACCTGGCAGGAAGCCCTGGTCTGATTCTTGTAGGACTTAAGCCTGTGCCCTCAGGTACTTAGGTCCCAGAGCCTGGCACATGATCACACAGACACAATCATTCGTTCGTTCAACAAACATTTGCTAAGCTCCCGCCCTATGCCAGGCTCTGGCTGTGCCTCGGAGTCCCAGCTGCGCCCTCCAGGAATTCAGAGCGTGGCTTCGTGGGAGGAGGAGAAGCAGCGCTCTCCAAGCGGGGGCAGACATAGGAGGGTGGGTGAGGGTCAGTGCATGGCAGGGCACCTACCAGCGCTTCCGCCCTCCTTTCCCAGGGCCAGGGGGAGGCCTGGCCACCGTGGGTCACCCCTGCCAGGGCTTGATGGTAAAACTGAAGTCACATAACCCTCCTGGACACTGGCCGGGGTGGACGATAGGTCGCCGTCATTCTGTTGTTGCTGGAGGGACTCTGAGGGCCAGCTGTCACTCTGGCTCCCAGGGCTGGGGGGATGATGGCCCTGGGCCAGGGGCAAAAGAGGGACCCTGCCTGCGGGGACACACTGCCACACCACACACAGGCTCACAGGTAGGGGTTGTGCACAAACACATGTCCTTTACCCACACACGCATGGAGACAGGACACAGAGGCTCCTGACAGCACTGCTCACACGTGCACGCGCAGGCACGCGCGTCCTACTCCACACACACCCTGACACCAAACCCACTCAAACACGGGCCTTGAATTACATTCCCAGGGAAAGGCATAGACACAGACACACGCATACTCCACGCACATTTACTACCACACACACCCCTCTCTCCAGGTGCCTCCTTATCTCACGTACGTACTCATGTCCCCCCAGGGTCCTTTGCAGAGCCCACTGCCCTGGAGATTCAGAGTAGATAAACCGTGAGAACCCTCCCCTCCCCGACACCGTGCAGAGGGAGTGGAGTGGGGGGGGGCCTTCGGGAAGGGAGCTCAGCAGGGTCTCTGTGCTCAGGATGGAGCTGGGGCATGATTCCCCATCCCGGGAGCAGAGGAACTGCTGGCTGGCTCTCAACCCTCCAGGCTGGGGTCCCACCTCTGGATGGGGCGCATGTGGTTGTGAGCCCTCGCTGACCAAGCCAGAGCCCTTCTCCCTGCCCCCAGCACTCCGAGACCCCACTCCAGGGGCTGCCCAGGGACAGGAGGACTCGAATAGGAGCTCCTGCCGCCCGGCTCTCCTGGGATCCCCGGTGGGGTCAGAAGCTGCCTTGCCAGCCTCCCTGTAGGGGAACAGTCTGCCACTGACCTGCTCCTTCTGGCTTCTCCTCTCTCCTCTCTGAGTCCACATTCTCCCATCTGACTCTTCTCCTCTCTAAGTCTTTCTGCCTCCCTCTGGTTCTCGTCTCTCTCTCCCTCTTGCTCCCCATGTCCCTCTGCCTAGTTTATCCTCTACAATAAAGATCGACATTTTTCAATTAACCCCCCAAATAACAGAATGGCTCTTGGAGGCCTGGACAAGAGGAGGATTGTGTGTGCGCGTGTGCATGTGGCCCATGGGTGGGGCTGGGGACACCCATGGCCCCACTGTCCTTTGTTTGCTCTTTCTCTTCCGGAGTCTTCCTTTTTTCCTGGGAGAGTGGAAGCGCGTTCCCTTCAGGGGAGGAAGGGAGACAAAAGAGAGAAATAAAAAACTGTCATGGTCTTCTTGTAAACACAGTGTATGGTGCAGAGCGGGGGCTCAGCAGGAGACAGGGGCTGAGGGAGAGGCAGGGACAGGGAAAAGTGGGGCTGAGAGACACGGGGAGAAAAGGTGAGCAGGTGGGAAGGAGCCACTACCTCAGGGCCTGGGTGGGTGTGGGCTGCCAAGGGTCGGGGTGGGGGGGGAGGAAATGGGTTGATCCGGGATGGTGGAAGGGACTGGAAGAAGCTAGACCAGGTTTGGCAGTGTGGTTAGAGTGAGGGCTCAGTCTGGGGTGAGACCCTTGACTTACATTAGGACTAAATCCTAGTTTTTGCCTCCATGGCTCAGTCTGTGACAGACCTTCAGCCTGGCCCCAGCTGCCATCAGTTATGGGCAGGGGCTGGGTATTAGCCCTAGAGCTAGAACTAACCCTTGGCTTGAGGTCCCAAGGGAAGGAGAGGAGGCTGGAGGATTCAGTATGAATCTTTGGGGGATGAAGATGTTTGGAAGAGAGATGGCCCCGCCAAGAAAGGGATGTGGCCTCCAGAGAAGATAAATGGGGCCTCCCTTGTGCCTCAGCTCACGAAGTGACAGGGTCATTTAGCTTGAGACAGACCTTTGGACGAAGCAGTCCCCATCTGTTGGCCTTGCCTCTCCTGTGGTGGTGACCATGTAGATGACTTGGAGAAGGTCAGTGGGCATGGCGTCTCAGGCCTGGCCGGGTGATGACCCTGCCCCTTCTGAACAAATTGGGGGCCACGCTTGACCTGGCAGGAAGCCCTGGTCTGATTCTTGTAGGACTTAAGCCTGTGCCCTCAGGTACTTAGGTCCCAGAGCCTGGCACATGATCACACAGACACAATCATTCGTTCGTTCAACAAACATTTGCTAAGCTCCCGCCCTATGCCAGGCTCTGGCTGTGCCTCGGAGTCCCAGCTGCGCCCTCCAGGAATTCAGAGCGTGGCTTCGTGGGAGGAGGAGAAGCAGCGCTCTCCAAGCGGGGGCAGACATAGGAGGGTGGGTGAGGGTCAGTGCATGGCAGGGCACCTACCAGCGCTTCCGCCCTCCTTTCCCAGGGCCAGGGGGAGGCCTGGCCACCGTGGGTCACCCCTGCCAGGGCTTGATGGTAAAACTGAAGTCACATAACCCTCCTGGACACTGGCCGGGGTGGACGATAGGTCGCCGTCATTCTGTTGTTGCTGGAGGGACTCTGAGGGCCAGCTGTCACTCTGGCTCCCAGGGCTGGGGGGATGATGGCCCTGGGCCAGGGGCAAAAGAGGGACCCTGCCTGCGGGGACACACTGCCACACCACACACAGGCTCACAGGTAGGGGTTGTGCACAAACACATGTCCTTTACCCACACACGCATGGAGAC